GGCTCTGTATTTGTTTTTTAATTAAGAAAATTTTTTTACTTAAGTATTTAAAACATTATGTAGGTTTCGGGTGTACAGCATTATAATTCAACATCTGTACGCACCCCACCCAATGTTTAGTTTCCATCTACCGCCATAAGGATCGATGCCTTGAATTCCATTTGCTCGTCCCCTTCTCCCGAGGTAACCACTGTTTCGTTCTTTCTTACAATCCACGAGATTGTTTTTATTTATTTATTTTTTTGGTTTGTCCCTTTGTTTTGTTTTTTTGTCTTCCACAGTTGAGTGAAATCATTGTCATTTTTTGTCTCACTTACTACATTTTTTGTCTCACTTACTACCCTGTAGGTCCATGCATGTTGTCGCAAGATTTCATTTCTTTTTATTTTAATAGTTACAGACTCTGTGAATTCACCTTCTTGCTAAAAGCTATTTATAACCCTGAAATAGACATCCAGTGCATTTTCATGGTTGAGGGCAAGCGCAGAGCAACCCAAAATTTCAGGCCCCAGGCGCCTGAAACCTGGACCAAGCCTGTGAGCTGCTGCTTCTTGTAGCCCTCACGCTGCAGATGAGTGTCCCTCCCTCAGCCTGTTTAATTGACCCCCCAGGGCCTCCTCAGTGGCGCAGCAGGTTGAGCCCTGCGCTCTGAAGCTGTCTGCAGCCTCTGCAGTGCGGGTTTGATTCCAGCCCCCGGCTGAATCCCACATAGCGCACAGACCTCTCCTGTCTCCCCTGCTGCTCCCCTCAACAGTGTATTTCTGTTGTCTGCCTGTTCTGTTCCCCACTGTCTCCTCTCACCCTCCCGTGCCTCTGGCCTGTACCCCAGCTCTTGTATAAAAATAAATCTTTGGGGAAAAAATGACCCCCCAGTTAGTGCTGAAGATGCTTGCACACATCAGTGCTGCGAAGCTGTGATGTGTCTTCTGGAGAAAACACAAGAGTTACATAAGCGCCTTTCTGTATGAGTTTTAGTGCTGTTGACTCTGAATTCCCAAAACACAGTATTCCCAAAACACAGTATTTGTTAAATAAGGTGTCTTTACATAAAAACACACACAAACAAGCATATGCATGGATTGGTTCATGAAAATTTTGTGATAGAGGCTTGTAGGAACCTAACCCTGAATTTTCCCTTGGGACAAGGACATTCAGTATTTGCTAATTCAGTGTTCACGGTGCTTTTATAAGACATGGTGTAAGTGACTTTACTATATATACAGAATGCAGACCCTCAATTCCACTGATATCTGCAAGAAATCTCTAAGGGTAAAACATACCCAACTAACAAACAAGAGGAAACAGTGCTCATTCACCTACTCCAGGAATTTCTTTAGGTTTGTAACCAAACTTCACACAAGCCCATTATAATCTTTTTTAGGTCCACAGCATATGGCTTCATATTGGCTCACTTCCCCTATCTGACATACACATGCTGTGGCCATGGTCATAGACTCACAGGATGTCAGGGTGCCGAGCCTCACATTTCTCAGTTCTGCTCCTTCTTCTGCAGCTGAGATCTGTGAGGTCCAACTGGGTGAGGGATCGCCACAATCTGGAATTCCGTTCGTTTTACTGCCTTCTTTTGGAATAAATATGAATTGATCTGAGGAGAGGAGATGACAGTAATAGCAATATATGAAACAGGGTTTAAAAAAATCAATAGAATAAGAGTAAGTCCTCTCTCATCAGCATCACAGATGCTTTAGGGAGAGCGAGAAAAAAACATTAGTTTCTAGATAACTTCGAGCTCTCACCACTGCAAGCACAGCTCTAGCATTCTGTGGTGTCAGGCTGCAGAGGGATCTTTCCACTAGCAGACTGCCAGGTTGCTCTACGACCGTGGTTGAGATGCTCGGTGTTTATGAAGAGTTACTACACTTTAGCTCATGTAGCACCTGAGGAGCCCCGTTTACTGACTAGAGATCCTGATTCCCAAAGTGGGTGCTTGCTTTCTAGGTGACACAGCAAAGCTCTAGTGAGCACCAGTCACTGCTATTGCCCAGCGCTTCCTCCTTGTGGCCAGAGACAGGAGCTGAGCAGGATCCCACAGAGCAGGGAGCTAGACCTTGATCTGCAGGGGAAGGGGAGGCTGTTTTCACTGCGATGGGGGTAGGGAGGGACACCTCTGGGACTCAGGTCATCACTGGTTTACCTGGTTTCCAGGATCCACCTGAGCTTGTTTCCACGAACCTCCCAGGACTATAGTTTCTAAAAGCTTTAAACATGATTCTGTGGGCAGATGGGGTGGATTACCCCTGAGCGAATCTCTATACTCATTCAACTCCCTTTCTCAGATAAGGCTAATTGAATACACAGGTATCAGGAATGGGTCTGTCAGAACAATCCAAGATAATTCCTACATTTTGGACAATAAAAACCCAAATGCCTTATTTAGTCTGGAATGTAATGGAGAACACATACAAAAGCATGGCAATTAAAAGCACAGGACATTTTTAGGTAATTTTTCATCTTCTTATACCCTTGTAATTGCATTTTCCCCCCATTTGTCTTCTCATTTTGCATATTGGGCAAAATAGCTTTTTACTGTTTTCTTTGTTATGATAAATGTATCCCAATTAATTTTTTTCTCCCGAGAATTATTTATGTACAAACATGAACTTCGCCTCCATGATTAAAAATATAGGCTTCTTGAGATTGTTTATTTTCTTATGAGAGATTATTGCACAAAATGTAAATAGTCATTTCTTATGAAGATTCTGTGTTTATTTTCTCTTTTCAAAGAGCAGTCTAATGTCACCCACACCCTCCTCTCTTCTTCCCTTCAATTGTACCTTAACTTTGGATTCTTAGTTTGTGGAATAAAATTTATCCAGGGTGAGGAAATTCACGTGGGAGTCTCTGAAGTTTTCTCTCAATCTGTTGGGCAAGATAGTAAAAAGACAAACCAAACCATACTGCATTATAGGGGCATGAGATACCCTTAAGGACATAAAAAATTTAGGGTTGTTGATCCCCCATCATACCACCCTTAAATATATCAATAAAAGACTCAAGGGAAGTTAGTGGATCCTGGGGGATGTAGATGACAGTAAGTAAGACAAGGTAGTTTTGCTAGAACAGACTAAGGTAACACCAGGTATAAGGTATGTAGCCATTGATTTTGCAAATTTTTCAGAATCCAATTGCACAAGATGATCAGAAGTAAATTTCATTTATGTGAAAGAGACAAACATAGACACTTATAGTTTTATCCCAGGCAATGTTAAACTTCTTGATCTCTGTCATAATATAGTCAAATGAAGTCTGCCCTGCCTTGAGGTCTGCGTTTGACAGAATAACGCCCCCTGTCCCATCTCTCCTCATCAGATGTCCATGCCCTAATCCATAAACCTGTGAATATGTTACATTACATAGTAAAAGGGACTTTGCAGGTATAATTAAGTAAAAGATCTTGAGGTGGGAAGATTATTCTGGATTATCTGGGAGGTAATAGAAAAATCTTATAAAGGAAAGAGGGAGGCAGGTGAGTTGGAGTCAGAGAAGACAAAATAAGAGAGGCAGATGTGTGGATGTGTGTGTGTGTGTGTGTGTGTGTGTGTGAGAGAGAGAGAGAGAGAGAGAGAGAGATTTGAAGATACTATTTGAAGATACTTAGGCAGTGCAAGAAAATGGATTTTCCTTTAGATCTTCTAAAAGTAATTCAGACTTGCTGACACCTTGATTTTAGGATATCTGACTCCAGAACTGTTAGCTAATCCATTTCTATTGTTTTAAGCCACAACATTTGTGGTAATTTGTTATAACAGCATTAGGAAATGAACACAGATACAGATTATCCAGACATCAGAGTGATGGTAACAGGTAGTATAGTTAAGTGGTTGGCGAATTCAGTAGCTTAATGACCTATTCAGGGTTCTAGTTTCTTTATAAATTTTCTCCTTGACACACTTTAACTTTCATTCTAATCTCTTCATAATTACAGGGTTGCTGCTTTGGTACCAAGGATCATGTCTTACACATTACTATTCAATCAGGAAGGGAAAATGGTGTATGTGTTTATTTTTGAGAAGCAATGAACACCTTTTCATCATAGAATAATCCTTTTTTTTTAAAAAAGATTTATTTATACAAGAACTGGAGTATAGGCCAGAGGTTCAGGAGGGTGAGAGGATTCACCAGAGACAGAGCAGGGAACAGAACAGGCAGATGGACCAAACACACTGCTGAAGGGAGCAACAGTTGAGACAGGAGAGGTCTGCTGCACCATGTGGGAATCTCCCTGGCTGGCTGGGAATCGAACCTATGCTTCAGAGGCTGTGGACAGCTTCACAGCACTGCGCTTAACCTGCTGTGCCACCAGGGAGGCCCGGATAATACTTTTTAATCTGTGTATCCTATATTCTTTGCATTGATCTTAACTCAGGTTAGTTAAAGGAAACATTGCAAAGCGTTGTGTGATTGTTGAGGCATGGTATTGGATAAGTGTGTGACTTTTGCATCTGCCAGTGTTTTTGTCATGTTTGATGAAGATGAGAGTTAGTGTGTTTGTTGAGAAGATGTCTCTTTATTGACTACTTGGAGGCACAGTTAATAAAACATCTCCCATAGAGTGTCATAGGATTCCAAACAAAATGTAATTCAGTACAAGTGCTTATCAGTGAGTAGCTGTGGAAACAGCCATTATCTTCAAGGCCTATAATCTTCTTTTGAATACTCTGAATGCAGACTTTCTACTAAAATGACTAAAATGTACTTATTTGCCTGTAACTAATATTTTCTCAAAGTGATTTTTTTTGGCTCCATAAATAGATTTCATTGACCTATTCCATTTATTAGCTTATTCATTTAATTACCTCCCATTTTGATCTGAGGTCCCGCTGAGCAAGAGAATGATGTCATGGCTTCCTCACAGTAGGCAGTCTGTATAGAAATTTGGTTGGAAGTCTTCACAAGGGCGGTTGCAACTTCATCAAGGTTTTCATTGTAGCTCAATGGCTCTGTAATTGACAATCCCTGTGGAGAGGGAGTCCTTTGTGGTCGGATTGCAACTGCTGAGAAATGACTCAGAGTTAATGGAAACTGAAGTTATTCCTGTCTTCAAATGAGAAACGAACTCTAAAGGTTATATTCAAAATGTAAATTTGTAGCGGAATATTTCCTATGGGAAAAAACTTTGGGGCCATGTTTAGTCTCCTAGCATAAATCCTCGGTGTCCACCAAATTGTGACAGAAGGGCAGAAGTGTGATGCTGTGGACAGGGTACTGGACCATGAGAGAGGAGACTCAGTTTCTAGGTTCATCCATCCACCAATTCCCTGTGTGGGCTGAGAGTGACAAAGAAAGTCTACTTAACTTTTGCTTGACAGCAAAGATCAAGTCTTACAAAGATACTGCTATTATTGCTGCTGCTGTAATAGGTGCTAGGTATTGAAACAGGTGCTTTACATAATTGGGCTCATTAAACCTCTATTTTCCGGAGAATGTCAGTATATCTCCACTTTACATGTGCACAAACTGAGGCTTAAAGATGCCCTGTGATGAAACTAAGATCGTGAGTTTGTGCAGGCAGGGAGCCCAAGGCTGTCAGAGTTCAAGGCCTGTACACTTCCTTATTCAATATCTATGACAAGTAATATTGGTCTTATGTACAACAGTGATTCTCAACCTTGCTTGAACATTGGAATCACTGGTGGGGGTTTGAAGAATATACATGCCAAGGTCGCCTCCCAGAATGCTGATATATCTGTTCAAGAAACAGTCTAGAGGATTTTCTTTTTTCCCCAATAATCACAACTACATTTAAAAAATCTGTAATGGTTCAGTGGCTTTACAGCTTTACCCTCAGAATCTCAAATTAAGTTTTGTGCTCACTATACCCAAAGGAAATTGATTCACTTTGTCTTAAGTAATGCAAAAATATCAGAAAAAAGCATGAAGAACTTGCTTGATGGGCTGTTAGAATTACAAACAATAAAGTATTCCCCCCTCCCAATTATGTTTATTGAGGTAAAATTGGTTAACATCATTGTATCTGCTTTGGGGGTTATAGATTGAAACTTCTACTAATGTATGTTTTCATACCATGCCGATCACTAGTGCCCCAATAATCCTCCACCATGTCTCTATTGGGGCCCTTCTTTCCTCTACTCCTATTCTACCACACCCCCCCCCACCCCACCATCCTTGGATGTTCTCAGTTTTGCAGTCAGATGTCAAGGTTTATTATTGGTCTGGCTTTCTCTGATCTTTGCTTTCCTTCTCTATATTCCACATACAACTGAGAGTATATTTGTCTTTTTCCTCCTGATTTATTTCACTTAGCATTATCCTCTCCAGTTCCATCCATATTCTCATCAATGGCAAGAGTTCATCTTTTTTTTTTTTTTAAATAGCTGAGTAGTATTCCATTCTATGTATGTACCACATTTTTCTGATTGACTCCTCTGTCCTTGGGCGCTGAGGCTGTTATTGTCTTAGTGTTGTAAACAAGCCTGTAATGAACATAGGAGTGCATATGTCCCTTCAAATTAGTGTTTTTATGTTCTTTCAGTAGATACATAAGAGTGGAATGGCTGGGTTGTATGTAGGTCTATTTTTAATCTTTTGAGAGACTTCCAGACTGCTTTCCATAGGGGCTAAACCAGTACATTTTACAGTGTACAAATGTTCCTTTTTCTCCACATGCTCTCCAACACTTGCTGTTTCTGGTCTTTATATGGAACATTCTTATGTATCTCATTGTGGGTTTGATTTTCCTTCCCCTGATGATAAGTGATGATGAGTATTTTTTCATGTTCCTAATGGCCATCTTCTGTGGAGGAGATTCTATTTACCTCTTCTGCCTATTTTTTGATTGGGGTCACTTTTTTTTTTTTTTTTGTTGCCATTGTTGAATTGCATGAGTTCTTTTTATACTTGGAATATCCACCCTCTACCAGATGTATTATGTGCAAATATTTTTTCCCACTCAGTAGTGCGTCTTTGTTTCGGTGATATTTCCTTTTGTTGTGCAGAAGCTTTTTAGTTTGATGTAATCTCATTTGTTTATATTTGCTTTTGCTTCTCTTGCCATTGAGCTGTATCTACAAAGATGTGTCTTATGCGAATGATGTGGGATGTTTTGCCTATTTTTTTCCTTCAATGTGTTTTCTAATTTCAGGTCTTAAATCCATGTCATTAATCCATTTTGAGTTAGGTTTTGTGTAGGGTATGAGATAGTGATCTAGTTTCATTCTTCTGCATGGGGCTCTCCAGTGTTCCAACACAATTTGTTGAAGAAACTGTCCTTTTTCCAATATATAATCTTGGTTCCTGTGTCCTAGATTAACTGTCCATACATGTGCAGTTTTATTTCTGGGCTCTCCGGGAAGGAGAAATGGTATGGGCTTGGGAATTAGTGCTGGACAAAATTAGGGACAATTTCCATGAATAAAACTATAACTGATAATTGTGTTTCCTCAAGAAGAGGGAAGCTGTAGCACTTGGAATGCTCTTTAATGAAGATGGTCTTCACAAAATGGTATTGAGCTGATGCCAAAATGAATTTTTTAAAAAAGATTTATTTATTTATGCATACAACAGCTGGGGTACAGGCCAGAGATGCGGGGTGTGAGAGTACTCACCAGAGACAGAGTGGGGAACAGAACAGGCAGACTGACTGAAATACACTGCTGAGGGGAGCAGTGGGCGAGTCAGGAGAGGTCTGCTACACCATGTGGGTTTTTCCCTGGCTGGCCGGGGATCGAACTTGTGCTGCAGAGCCTCTGGATTGCTTCATAGTGCGGTGCTTAACCCCTTGTGCCACCAGGGAGGCCCAAAATGAATTTTTTAATGATTATTTAGAATAGACTTTTGATTGATAGTCAGATCCAGGCATTGCAAATGCAAGAATTTTGAGGTGATTGTAGAAGAAGTTCTAGTGAAGGGAAATGAAAAAAGAGGAGCTATTTTTCCTGAATGTAAACCAGAGTGCCACAGATAATACGTTTTAGTAAAACCTGGACAAGAATAAGTTTAATCTTTCTCTGAATTCAAGGTGAATTGTGTTTTAAGTTAAACTCTTCAAAGTAGTTTAAATAATGTCAGACAATTAAATATGTATGTATGAGATTGCATAAACTCAGTTTTTCTTTTCTACCTTTTAGAAAAATAATTGCAAGCAAATTATTACAGTTATGAAATATTTTGACTGTTTTGTAGCAGTGATGATAAAGGCAGAGAGGAAAGAAGAATTAAAGGTACCAGCCTTTTATTCATTCCTGTGTGAGGAAGAATATTCTCTGACTACATCCTTTTTCAAATACAGCTTGAATGAATAAATATTCTCCTGCATCAATATTTAAAAATTAAGTATTGTTGCAGGTGGCACAACTAAATCTCTTAAGGAAGGAATATAACTGAACTTGATTTGTTGATTACAATCACCATATAATTCTCAATTGATTTTGTCATATCCTTTTAGTTCTGTGGATGGTGTTTTTTCCACAGCCAGCAGGTACAATGGAATTTTAGTTTTTATTTTGGTGTCTATTAGGATTAGTAGTTCAAGGCAATGGGGGTGGGCAAGCAAAATTTGATTCTGTTCAGGAAAATTTCCTAGGCTTGCCACTTGACTCTGAGCACATCTTTTACATCTTCCTTTGTCTTAATATGTTTATTTGTAACAGGAAATTTGATGAAAGCACAAGGCTCTGGAGGATGTTGGTGTACTCTGATAATAGATTGATGTAATTGTTAACCTTTGGCTTTCATTAACTCAAATTATTAATTTGTGCCAATATTGGTAGTGTTGAAACCATTAAGAATTCATCATGGGCCTCCCTGGTGGTGCAAGGGGTTAAGATGCAACATGTGAAGCTATCAGCAGCCGCTGCAGCACTGAGTTCGATCCCCAGGCAGAGGATACCCACATGGCACAGCAGACCTCTCCTGTATTACCCGCTGCTCCCTCAGTAGTGTATCTCAGTCAGTCTGCCTGTTCCGCTCCCCACTCTGTATCTGGTGAATCCTCTCATCCCCCTATCCCCCCTCATGCCTGTACCCCATTTCTTGTATGCACAAATAAATCTTAAGAAAAAAAAGAATTTATCATGGGGTGGATAGTTACCTCCTCCTCTTTTTTCTTTCTCTTCTTCACAGGTAAAGTACATGTCTCTGAACACTAGGGTAGTGGCTGTCTGTCTATTAATTGATGACTCATTCATTTAACCAAGAGAAAACAAAAGGTAGAAATTTCACATATACATTTTTCATTTTCAATTTAACACCTTGATTTAAAATTAGGCATGTGTCAGGAGTCTATGTTTTAAATGGAACACCACAATATTGTGTTAGTGTTCTATGCAACAAATCACATACATGATTTCATTTGACTCTTGGACACTCTGGGCATTGAAACATGGAGCTCGTGTTTACTTGTTGAGAATTCCTCAAATTACAGTAAGTCCTCATTTCCCATCATCCCTGAGATCTAATCCAATGAACTGAGATGTAATTCATGATCTTTGTAGTTCATTATAGTTAAACCTGGGCTCAGAGCATTTGCTACCAAATAATATAGTGACTCACAGAAAGAGGCAGGGTTTGTTTCTTTTTTTTTTTTTTTTTTTTTTTTTTAATTTTATAGAGGCATGTTTATTTATTTGTTTGTTTGTTTGTTTGTGTTTTGTTTATACATGCATTGGGTACAGTCAGAAGCGGGGGAGGGTGAGAGAATTCACCAGAGCCAGAGCAGGGAGCAGAGCAGGCAGAAGGACCGAAGTACACTGCTGAGGGGAGCAGCGGGCGGCAGGAGAGGTCTGCGCGCCATGTGGGACCCTCCTCCGGTGGCCGGGGAGCAGCCGGGGATCGAACCGGCACCGCAGAGGCTGCGGGCAGGTTCGCAACCCAGCGCTCAACCGCTGCGCCACCGGGGAGGCCCAGGGTTTGTTTCTTTAATCATAATAACAAATGATTTGATTTCAAACTTTAAAAGGTGATGGTATGATATTTTTACTGGGCAATATTATATTCAAGTAACTTCATTGAGTTCAGGTCATTGAACACATATGAAATGTCAGCATACTTTGTTCAACTTGGCGTTGGGGCTAATTTCTCATGATCACGTTGCCAATAATCACCTTGTATAATAATTTGGATGGTTGTCATTATTTATTTATTTATTACTGTTTGGGAAATGTTTCTTTTAATTGATAGTAACATGAGAGTCTCCATTTTGTAAATATGCAGATAATATAATTTACATAAGCTAAAAATGAGAGTAACCGCAGAGGTTAATAGCATAATTATCTACTTGGTGTTTGTCTTTATTCCCAAATGAATGTGTTTTTACATCTTGCTTGTATCTTTTCCCTGCAATTATAAGCTTGTCCTATTATCTATCTGTTATAATGTTGAGAATATTGTTCATCTTTAATGAATATCATAAATAAAGGAAGCACTGACCCCTTAGGTAGCTTTTGCTCCAGGTTGATTCATTCTTCTCCCTTCTAGGAGTCTGTGACTATTAAAATCCTTTCTTAGAAATGGATTGGACAGCTCCTATACTTGCTTTGCTTCACTGTTTCCACTTCAACTTGGCACCAGATTTTGGAGAACCTGGACCATGCTTCTTAGTATTATAACAATGAATCACAGGTATAACTGTACAGCAGAAATCACATGGGAAGACTTAACTTAAAATGTGAATTTCTGGTCTTCTCCCTGACTAGCTTTCAACCTCTCCAACTAATTCAGCTGGTTTGTAATAAAATCTGCATATTAACATTTTGAAGATTTTAAAATCAGATATTTGTTTTTTTTAAAATAAATTTTATTTTTATATTCCCCATACAATTGCAATCCCCTTATTTTGACCCCAATCCCTCCCCTCCCCACCCCCCACCCCCCATAGAGTGTCTCTGGTTCATAGTTGTTTGTTGATTTTGATATTTTCTTTCTTATAGTTATTCATTTTCCTGGTCCCTTATTTAAGTTTTCTAGATTCCTGCTATGAGTGAGACCATCCGGCATTTTTCTTTTTCTTTCTGGCTTATTTCGCTGAGCATGATCCCTTCCAGCGCCATCCATGTTGCTGCAAATTGCATGTGTTTATCTTTTTTGAATGCTGAGTAATATTCCTGGTGTATATGCACCACATCTTCTTGATCCAGTCATCTATTTTTGGGCATTTGGGTTGTTTCCAAAGCTTAGCTATTGTAAACAGTGCTGCTATAAACATAGGGGTGCAGGTGCTCTTTGGAATTGATGTTTCTGTGTCCTTTGGGTAAATACCTAGGAGTGGAATTGCTGGATCATATGGAAGCTCTATGTTTAGTAGGTCAAGAAATCTCCACACAGCTCTCCATAGTGGTTGGACCAGTTTGCACTCCCACCAGCAGTGCAGGAGAGTTTCTTTTTCTCCACATCCTCGCCAACATTTGTTGTTGCTAGTTTTTTTTAATATGTGCCATTCTCACTGGTGTAAGATGGTATCTCATGGTAATTTTGATTTGCATTTCCCTGTAAATCAGATATTTGTTTTAAAGGGCATTGGTATTAGAAGGTGATTGCTGAAAACTGGAAAGGTAGATTGACTAGATGTTCAGGAATTGAAGGGGTTCTGAGATTTCCAATACCTAAATAGCGATCATATGATCTTTTCCCCTCTCCTTCTAATCGTATTTAGTGTGTTTGCCATCAGCCAGCCCACAGTGGCTCTGAGCCCAGCACCTACACTATTGGGGTTTGTGCCCCTATGCCTGCAATACAGGATATCAGAAGATCAAACAAACTAGAGTTAGTGAAATTACAACCATGATGGTCTATCAGAATGGTCATTATTTTTTGTATGGCATGATATAAGAACAGAACTCTTTTTCTAGACTTGTTAGAGTTTCATTGGGAATGTGACACAATGTAACAGCAGCATTTCCCGATGGCATCACACAAAGATTGATCACAGCATGCAATTTAATTAAATTAATTACACTTAATTGCTTACATGCTGCATGGAGAGACTACAATAGCCTGTGCACACATAGACATTATCATTCAACAACAACATAAAGCAACCCCTTCCAGTTCTTGGCCAAGTGGATTGACAAGTCCACTGAACGGACACTGAGCATTTTGTGTGTCTTTCTGGGCATCTTGCCAGAGGTCTGTGCAGCAGAAAACATTGGCCCAATGCATCCTTAGGGTTTGCATATCTCGGGAAACAATTGTAAGTTTCATCACCTCGCACAGTCTATTCTGCAACAGTACTGAGTTGGTTTGTGATCTGATTTGGTGGGTATTTCAAAGAACTTGCATTTTTGGAATATGAAGAAATGTCCATGGGCAATTGGAAACTGACTGTCTTCATCTTGTCCCTAAAGAAAGCAGAATAAGGGCAGCATAAGCCAGGATTTTCAGTGAGTCATTATCTGCTCTTTTTTTCAAGTCACCAAGTATCATCTCGTTAAAATATATCCTTGAAGTAATTTGTTCAAAATTCAAGAAATTTGTTCAATTGTTAAATAATACAAACAAATAATTACTATTATTTGATTTGTTCAATAATCATATAAGAATAGGTATAAGAATTAACATTTTCATGAAGTCCCATGTATAGTGTTGATAAAACTAAAATGTAAAACTATTTTTTTTTTTTTTTTTTAATTAGAGGCATGTTTTTATTTATTTATTTATTATATTTGTTTGTTTTGTTTATACATGCACTGGGTACAGTCAGAAGCGCGGGAGGGTGAGAGAATTCACCAGAGCCAGAGCGGGGAGCAGAGCAGGCAGAAGGACCGAAGTACACTGCTGAGGGGAGCAGCGGGCGGCAGGAGAGGTCTGCGCGCCATGTGGGACCCTCCTCCGGTGGCCGGGGAGCAGCCGGGGATCGAACTGGCGCCGCAGAGGCCGCGGGCAGCTTCGCAACCCAGCGCTCAACCGCTGCGCCACCGGGGAGGCCCTAAAATGTAAAACTATTGAGGGAGGGGCTGCACATCGGGCATTACTAGTTTTATGTCCAAAGTTGAAGAATGTCATTGTGTCAGGAAAGGGTCTTTGCACGTGAGACCTCTTCAGTTGGAATGAAACAGAAATTTGAGCCAATTCTTTTATGATCCAGTTCAATCTGCAGCTGTGGACTTTGAATGAACTGAATGTCCATCCTATGTTATGAATAAAGGGGTGAGAGGACTGACAGGCACAGCCCAGGGATGATGGGTAGTGTCCTTCCCCTCTGATGCTGTCATGACATAAACCATGCTGCTTGCAGGAATCATCTAAGGAATAGTCCTTCAAATTATTGTCTTTTCTTCACTTTTGTTCTCTCTCTTAGTGCTGTTAGGTGAGGTCATAATTTCACTGAATGGTATTTAGTAACTTGTGTCTAGAGGACACATCTGCTCCCTCCCTGAGGAGGCAGGTCAAAGGTTCCATGTGTTGGATCAATAGACACCAGCCCTTCTGCCCCTGGGTGACAGTCGGATGACTGTCTCACTTACTCGTCCCTAAACAGGAGGGAACTGCTATTAAGATTCTCTTTATCCAAAAAAAGACTACACATTGGTACAAAACAGACAAATAACTTTAGTCATGTTGCTTGTGAATGATGAATTTGGGATTTTAGTCTCCAGATTCCAGTGGCTGCTTTCTTAACCACTTTAGTGATGGGAAAGAAGAGAATGTATTTGTTTTAATGAGTCTGATAGTGCCTAACAGTGAAATGCATAAAATATTGCCACTAATTTTAATTGTCTGATTTGAACCCTTTTCTTTAAACTTTTCAACAGTCTGAGATGATTTTTTCCTTAAATGCAGGAGAGAAAGGTCAGATTTTTATGTCAAAATTAAGGAAAAATTTAAATCTTATCTCCATTTATGGAAAGAGTTGGTTCCTCGAAATATTGACAATGGAATTATTCTGTAAAATACATTCCTGGTGTAATAATGGAAAAACAAATTGGGTATGATGTCTGATTGACTCAAAAGCCAATTCAAACACGTAAGTTTCAGATAATCTTTGTAAAATTCCTTGACAGCAATTAGAAAGTGAATGAATATGTAAAAATAATCAGAGAAATAATGTAATGACATGTCATTTTACTAGTTAACTCTTGAGAAAGTCAAAGAGAAAATAAGAAAATGCTACCAAAAATACATACTTAATTCATCCTCAACAGTTCTCAATCTGACTGCATTTGCTGCCAACCCCGCTGTTGATTTTAAGTCATTACTGACTTTCTTGTTTTAACTCAGCCCTGCAGTTGGCTCAATCCTTCACATTAAAGTAGAGTTTAAATTAGAAATGGATTGTGTTTTAAATAGTCTATTTGTTGGCAGCTTGGAGGTTGGAAAACATTTTACTTTAGAAAAATAATGCATTAAAAATATTGGCTAGGTTTTGAAACTGTCATAGAAAATAATATAAATAGAAACTGGAAGGTTACCATATTTCTCAGCATTGTTAGGTCTGTGAGAATGTAATGCCAAAAAAGTCCCATTATAATATATGCAGTGTACAATTTCAAAATATGTAAACCCAAGCCTGGAAAGATCTCCATCAAAATCTAAATGGTGACTATTTAGGTATTGGGATTATGGATGATTTTCCTTTTTATATTTTTGTTACATTAGATCTTGCATTTATATTTTGTAATTTTCAATTTTTTTACAGTGAACATTTAGTGCTTTTATATACCTGGATATTCTGCACATAGAGATGTGTTTTTTGCTTAATAAAAATTATATATTTGCAGATATCTGTGTATATATAAATTAATCAAAGGATTCATCTCTATCTTTCTTCCCTGTCTCTTTGAAAGAACAGGGGACCCAATGGCTGGGAGTTCAATTGCTTCCACATCCCACATTTGAGTTGTCAACAAGTTTTCTTGGCTTCAAAACATACCCCAAATCACGTCCATTGCTATTACCCTTGGCTGCTAAATAACAATCTCTTGCCTAGAGTATATTTTTTAGTTCTAAACCTGGTTTCCTTGTTTTCTTTATTGTTTTCCTGGAGTCTTTTCAAAACATGTTTCCAGAAATTATTATTTTTTAAATAAAAAGAGTATGTTATGCACCCAAATTTACTTAGAATAAATCCAGAGTTTTTGGAAGGGCCCAAATGCTGTGCCCTTAGTTCTCTGTCCTCCTTGCTCATCTACAGTCACATCGTGTTCCTGTTTGACCCTGAACACCATGCCCACCAATGCGGGGCTCTTGCATTTGCTGTTCTTGGTGCATGGAGAGACCCCCAGGAATCCTCAGAGCTCAGTCTCTGTCCCTTCTGTACTCAACTGCAAGTGTTATCTGGTCATACTGTGCAAAACATTTCAGCAATGCTTATTTCTCTCACTCTTGTTTTTCCTTTTTTTAAGATTTATTTATTTATGCAAGAACTGGGGTAGAGGTCAGAGGTGTGGGAAGGTGAGAGAATTCACCAGAGAGAGCGGGGAGCAGAACAGGCAGACAGACCTAAGACACTGCGGAGGGTGTAACAGGGTTGTCCCCGGGGAACGGGGAGGTTCCAGGTTCCCTGCCCCACGCAAGGGAGGGTGGAGCTGAGCAGAGAGAAGAAGCTGCAGAGGAGACTGAGGAAGGAAGGAAGCAGAATGGAGCCAAAAGGAGACCTGGAGGAGGCGCATGGAGCAGAGACACATGAAGAAACTGCACTTGCCTTTGGGTCATGGACTGGGTGACACAGATGTGGGTGAGATCCGTGGGGAGGTGACAATGGCGGTTTTTGTCTTGATTTTGATTTTGCTCTTTTCCTTCCAGACTGGTCTGCTTGTTTCTGATCCTTTTCTGTGGGTCCTCACTGGAAGGTGCTTTAGACTTGTGGCAGGCTTTGGGGCCTTGTTCTGGGCCAGTCCCATTTGGATGGACTTTTACCCACAAGGGGAGGGGTACTTTGGGTGCTTCATTTAGAAACTATATTCTTCGCCTTTCCTGGATTGTTTCCTAATTGTATTGAAGTTCCTTCCATTAAAGTCTCAAATGTTTTGTGTTGATGCGGCGGATGGCAGAACCCATTTAGAGCAGGCAGGTTTGCAGGGTCTGGGATGCCCCTCTCCCTGCCCTGTAACAAGGGGAGCAGCGGGCGAGGCAGGAGAAGTCTGCTGCGCCATGTAGGTAGCTCCCCGGCTGGCCAGAATTAACGGGAATCGAACCCTCTCTGCGGAGGCTGCGGACAGCTTCACAGCTCAGCGCTCAATCCACTGTGCCACCAGGGAGGCCCTCGTTTTTCCTTTTTATTGATTTACTGTTCTCTTTAATATTTACCTCCATGAACATAATATATACTTGACATATTTTCATGTTTATTGATTATCACGCTATAAAGGAAAATCTCCCACGTGGACAGGGGTTACTGACAGCTCTCCTTCCTGCTGTGTCCCCCAGGCCAAGGATCCCCCAGCACACAGCCCCCCTTCAGGGTGTATGGATGAGTGAATGCATGTAGTGAAAATCTAAAAAGTGGACTGAAAAGATGGAAACCAAACTCGTGACAGCACTTGCCCTCAGGAGGACTGGGGAAGAGAGACAGAGAATCTTCCCCTGTATCAGTGACACGTTTCCCTTTTGTGTATGTGAAAATTATCTGAAAAAAAGTCAATACTTACAGATGAATACCTTTGATATTTGTAACATTAGTTTCTGAATATTTCTATATTTTGAAATTTTTCATAAAGATAGATTTTTACTTGTTTTCTACTCGTTTCTTACTGCTGGCATTCTAGGGAAGACCTTTTATGATGGATCGTGCTTATTTCTCTATCCTTATCCACTTCACTCCTCATGGTTTTGTTACAGGGCAGCCCGATAAAAAACGGGTTGCCTGACTGTGGGTCCCCTTGTTAGGGGGAAAAGGCAGTCCCAAAGCAAATTCCATACAGGCTTTGTGGACTCCACCCCCACCCCAGGTCAAAGCCAAAGACACTGGGAACTCCAAATCCCATCACCACCAAAGGGAAGGTGTCTGGGACCTGAGGGTGGGGTTAAGCAGCCAGGTGGATACAAAAGGCAGACACGTGGGCTTTGGGGTCTCTCCATTTTGGGGCCCTCGGCCAGCTCGCGGCGTCCGTCTAGCTCTGAGAGTGACTTTGGGTTTCCAGGTCGTCGGATCGGGTAGGACGCATTAAAGACTTTATTTCCCTATTTTCTCCCTGAGTTGTACATTTTCCTTATTTCTTTTTCTCTTGTAAATAAACCTTTTATTAACCCTTTTGCGTGTGTCTGTAGTAGAGTATTCATAAGTCCCTTTAAAGCGCGCGGGTGAGGACCCACAGCCAGGAACCCGTTTAATATCGGGGTTGCTCTATAACACCCTCACCCACATGCTTAAAAGGGACTTAATACTCTGCTGCAGGCACCCCTTTGCCCCTAACAGTTTCCCCCTTGGCATTGTTCTATGTTCTTGTCTCTCTCTTTTTTTTTTTTTGCTTCACATGAGATGACCTTGTGGCCTGCAGGGGGCAGCGTTGGGAGCGGCACAGAATGAGGGAAAGATCACTCATAGACCATGTGGAGCAACAGGAAGTCAAGAGGGGCTGCACTGGAAGTGATGTCCAGCCCCCATCTAAAGGCATCACCTATCTATTAGCATTGAATACAAAGGTGGAGCAAGTAAGCAGGGAGTGTACATGCCTGGGGGAAGCTGTTATTGGGGATGTAAATGGGGGTGGAGTGACCAGGAGCTATTGCCTGGGGGGCTCTATTATTCCCTCTAAACACCTGCCTGCTGTTATCAGCAGATACTAGTTCCCAGTTTGTTCTTCATACCAGGACTTCTGCCTTTGGTGAGTGGCCCCCTGCCTGGCCCTACACCTAGCTGACAAGCAGGAACTCGGCACCAAGGTAATATCCCCGAGAACAAGGCGGGCTGGGATCCCACATGACCTTTCCATTTTGGTTTTTCTGGCTCAATCCAGCTGTCCTCATGACCCAGGGCACTCTTTATGCACCTGTAACAGATCTTTCTACCAGCAATCATGGTTTTCATCTTGTGTTGTAGAACTCAAATAAAATAGATTCGACCTTTGTATTCCACATCCTGGGGGAAGTTCTGTGTTCTTCCTAATATTTATATAAATCCTTGTAGCTTAGTACTTATGGTTATCCCGCCACTGCTGAATTCAAGGACTTGCTTATTCTTCTCTCAACAACTGTATCTATTCCATTTTCTCTTCCATGTGATAAACTGATGGTGACACTCAGACTCTTTTTCGTATTTTTCTCCTTCCATGCACAGGAAATGTAGAATTGCAGTGGCTGAGGAGTCAGGGCCTACCTGGGAATCGGAGGGTAGGAATCAGAGTGTGGGGAAAGGAAGGCCATGTTCTATGCAGCAGAGCTCATCAATCATGCTCGATAATGATAATTTTGTCCAGAAATTAACCTTGGCTCTGTAACAGGGTGGTGTCCAGGAAAAAGGGAGGTTCCAAGTTCCCTGTTCCACCCAAAAGGAGGGTGGAGCTGAGCAGGGAGGAGCAGAAGCTGAGAGGAGACTGAGGAAGGAAGGATGGAGAGCCAAAAGGAGGCCTGCAGGAGGCACTTGGAGCAGAGAGACATTGAAGAAGCTGTGCTTGCTTCTTAGTCCTGGACTGGTTGGAAGACACATGGGTGAGAGACCCGGGGGGAGGTGACAATGGCAGCTTTTATGTTGATTTCAATTTTGCTCTTTTCCTCCCAGACTTGTCTTGCGTTTCTGACCCTTTTCTATGGGTCCCTGCCAGAAGGTGCACTAGACTCATGGCAGGCTTTTGAGCCTGGCTCTGGGCCAATCCCGTTTGGGTGGACTTTTATCCACAAGGGGATGGGTAACTTCGGGTGCTTGATTTGGAGACTATATTCTTTGTCTTTTCTGTATTGTTCACTAATTGTATTAAAGTTCCTTTTCTTTAAAGGTCTTGTATGTTTCATCTTGATGTGGTGAATGGCAGAACCTATTTAGAGCAGGCAGGTTTGGGGGTTCTAGGGTGCCCCTCTCCCTGCCCTGTCTTCTCACAAATGTTTTCCTAATTGCTCCCATTCTTAGGCTGCTTTAAACTTCTCAGAATCAATTCATGATTCATATTCTTTGCCAAACAGCTTCATTTTCTGTTTCTTGGCCTTTGTGAGTTATAGTAAGTGTTGTCTTTTTTATACCCCCTCTCTCTTCCCCCATGAAAACCCATTAAAGTACCTTCCTTCACAAATGCAGTTTATCCTCAGAGAGGAATTCTGTGTTTGGCTCCCAAAAGGTGTGTCTTTCTCAGATGTACCTGTTGTAGAGTCACTTTACTTGTGTGTCTTTCACTAAATGAAAGTTCGAACGTAGTGTTTTGCTTTGCTGAATCTTGTATCACCAGTGTCAAGTTCAGGGTATGATTTATAATGCTTGATAGTAAATGCAGTCTAATTAAGTGTTCTGCATAATTACAGACATCTCTTAATGTGTGCCAATTTCACCTCAAATAAATTTTTCTCTTTTGATTCCTGAAATGGACATACACGAGATGCAAACAACCTAGTGCCCAAGCAGATGTGGGGATTAGGAATATGTGGTCTATATGCACAATGGAATACTACCAAGCTATAAAAAAAGATAAGCTCTTGCCATTTGTGACAACATGAATGGAACTGGAGGGAGTTATGTTAAGTGAAATAAGTCAGAAGGAAAAAGACAAATCATAGATGGTGACACTTACATGTGGAATATAGGGAAACTAAGCACAGGGTCAGATAAAACCAAACCAAAAACAACCCGCAGATATCTGATTATAGAATTGAGGCTATGGTGGTTGGGGGGAGAGGGTGGAGAAATTTAGAGCAAAGTGGGGAGGAAGCACAATAGAACACTGTGGGTTGGAACACTATGGGTTCCCATAGTGGTGGAACACTATGGGTTTTTGGTGGTAGGTTGATGTAGTAACAACACCTAAAGCAGGAGACCTTATAACTCTCAATCACAAACAATGTTGTAAACCAATGTTACCTCAATAAAAATAAGTAAATAAATATTATTTGCATCAAATGAAAAGGTTTAACATAGTACATATAAAAAGAGTTTCTGCAAAGAAAAAGTGAAATCCCCCTACCCCAAAATAAATAAAGGGATGGATAATATTTTGGCTTCAGAGCCTTCTTGGTTTTGTTTTCTCCACTATTGATAGGTAAGAACTTGCTTACACAAGTCAATGCCTAACTAGCCATCACAGCTTGTGCTCACAAACTAGTTTGAGGCTTAGTGTACGTTACCTGAAACCAGGGCCATGCTCAGGACAAGATCTTTGGCTGGGACAGTTGCTGGTTAAGGACTCTGCCACAAGTGTCTTTTCTTCATTGTCTTGCTTCTTAATTGAAGAACACGCCAGTGATTTAATTGTTCCCTGAGCTTCTGGAATCCCTCTATGTGGATGTCTTTTCCCAGCTTTCCAGGGATCATTTGCAGCAAATGAATGAAACAGTGAGGAAATGGAATAGCGTCTAACAATCATGACATTGTCTGTATGGGAGACACAAAATTTAAAAGAAGAAATCCCATATTTTATGATATCCATACATGGAAAAATAGATGGCTAGTACTTTATTGAAGCTAACAAGGCAAACTATTTTTTTGGTTTATTTTTTGCATAAAAGACATTCATTCATTGATTTATTTTATGTACCAGGCATATTTTTAATTTGTGGGGATGTGTTAGTAAATAACACAAAATTCTTGCCTGTATAAAGCTTACCTTGTGTGGCAGATAGATGATAAGCAAACGGTATGTGATAATATTCAGGTAGTGATATAGTCTAGAGAGATAAATTAAGTGCACAGGGATAGAGATGGGGAAGGGAAAGGTTGTGGGGGCTAAATAATAGCAGCGTCAGGGAAGACCCTTCTGAGAACATAGCATTTGAACAGAGACAGAACATATACAGACAATAAAATACTATTTTTTAACTTGTTTGTGAGTGTGTGTGTGTGTGTGTGTGTGTGTGTGTAGGAGAACTGGGGTATAGGCCAGAGCTGTATGGGGGTTGGGGGAATGAGAGGATTTGGCAGAGACAGAGTAGGGGGCAGAACAGGTGGATCTACTAAAATACACTGCTGAGGGGAGCAGCAAGCATGACAAGAGAGGTCTGCTGTGCCATGTGGGTCAGCTCCCTGGCCGGGGATAGAACTCAGGCTGTAGCGGCGATAGTGCTGAGACTTAACACTTAGGTCACTGGGGAGACCCCTAATAAAACTAGACTTTAAAATGGGAAGAACATGGATCTTCTAGAGGTAACAACACTTCATGGCCTCCTCACTTCTGATTCCAGAAGAGCCTGCACAGCCACAGCTCCTGATCAAGGGAATGTCCACCAAAAGCAGAACTGGTCTATCCTGTGGATGTTGGCTTTAGCTGGGCTGGTGATGATGAGGATCCCTGTTAAATGAGGTGAAAGCAAACTTGTGGAGAGAATCAAATGTGCCTGGTGTGAGAAAAGCAGGCTGTTACCAAGAGAGGTGGGAACATCCAAGGCCTTTGTTTCTGAAGGTTTGCAGTTCAGTGTCTACCTATAAATGTTGCAACTGTCTTTCTCTAAAGTAAATGAAATCTTCAATGATACTTGTAACTGAAACACCTTGACTAAAAGAGCTTCATTTTAGGGAGTCTTGGTTTGTCTGAACACCAGCACTAACCTATGCTAACTCTGTGGCTTGGGGCCTGTCATTTCACCCCTACTGAGATAGCTAGTTATCACCCATGGGGCTAACCACACTGACCTCCAAGCCTGACTTTCATTTTCTCAATCACCTAATATTTGTTTAATATATGTTCTTTCTTTGCCATTAAGTAGCAGGGAAGGGTAGAAGTCATGTGTCTAGGTTTTGAGAGTACCAAGCACAATTATTTCCTTTAAGTTTGTGGCACACATCTACCGCTGTAAAAAAAAAAAAAGCTGAGACTTCTCTGGCCTTTTATAATTTGGAACAGCAGAAGACAAAATTTCTGGCAGAAGGCTGGGGGAAGGAAAGCTTAAGTTCAAATGTACCTGAAGTGGCTAACTGCAAATACTATTTATTTGTTTAAAATTTTTTATTAAATTTATTTATGAATACAAGAACTGGGGTGTAGGCCAGAGGTGCGGTGGTGGGAGGATTCACCAGAGACAGAGTGGGGAGCAGAACAGGCGGATCTACTGAAATACACTGCTGAGGGGAGAGTGGGCGAGACAGAAGAGGTCTGCTGTACCATGTGGGTCAGCTCCCTAACCAGAGATCTTACTCAGGCCACAGTGGCTGGTGATAGATTGATAGCACTGAGACTCCCTGCACCACCAGGGAGGCCCTGCAAATGCTATTTATAAATTATCTTTAAATACTTCCTTTGGTCATGATATTTAGCTTCTAGAATAATCTAAAAATAGCTTTATGACTATTGATAGACATAAACAGTTCTGTTTAAAAGTCTTATAAAACAATTTGTTTATAGAGGAAAACACAATGGAAGAAATAATGCTAATGATAGCAAAGTTAGTTATTCTAAATTCAACTAGACTGATTAGCAAATAAGCTCTCGGTTAATTTATGTCCCTAGGTCACAAATAGCCTGTATCCTTAGTTTCTTATCAACAAGAGGGAAACGGCCTTTAACACAGCACTATATGGTTGTTAGCATGACCCTGAGTGGAATCTGCCCCCTGCTTTGAAATATGGGGTCCCATACTTGAGAGAAATCGCTGTAATGGAGACAACCCACTGATAAATAAGACATCTTCCATTGTCAAGCTGTTTAGAGCATCTAAATGACACAGCCTGAAGCTTTTGACAGATGATACTAAGTACTTTGAGTATTTGATCATGTATACCAATTATTTGGATAGGCTGTGTAGAAGCAAACTCTCACAATTTAAATGTGGAACAGATATTTTTCTCTGCTGGTTTCTAGTCTCATATTTAGCCTTCTGAGCCAAAATTCTTTCCCATAAAAGGAGAGAGATTTGATTATTATTATGTTTTAGACATTGATCCTGGTATGTCGAATTATGTGCAGTATACATTCTTATAAGACAGAAAAGCTTTTTGTAAAACATAGATAAGAAAGAGTATTTACTTCTTGTTGTAGGCTTGCTAAATGCTATCCTAATCAGTCTAAATTATTGCAGTTAGTCTTCACATTTGTGTAAAAGAACTACAAGAATATTACTCACTTACTACTTCTAAATGAGAAAAAAAATAAAGACATTAACTAGCACAGAGCCAAGTGACTTAAGTGACTCATCCTCAGCAGCCATACTTGTCTAACTCTGGTATCCAGACACTTAACTGATGTGCAATGCCGTTCTAGCCTCAGAGAGCAATTTGACATACACCCATTCAGTGTTCTGTGATGCAGCTTTGAAATGCGTGAAGTCAAGGAGGAAAAATCACATTGTCTTTAATGTCATCGATTCCCACAAAACTGTCCTTCTTATCATCCCTGGCATATCTGGAAATAGTTTCAGTGTTGATCAAATATGTTGCTTGGAGATACTAAAGAAGTTTTTTTTTTTTCCTCCAAAGATTTATTTATTTATTTATACAAGAACGGGGGTACAGGCCAGATTCACGGGAGGGTGAGAGGATTTACCAGACACAGAGCAGGGAACAGAGCAGGGAGACTGAAATACACTGCTGAGGGGAGCAGCGGGCATGACAGGAGAGGTCTGCTGCACCATGTGGGGTTCTCGCCAGCTGGCTGGGATCAAATCCGGGTTGCAGAGGCTGCGGACAGCTTTACAGTGCTGCGCTCAACTGTCTGTGCCACCAGGGGAGGCCCTAAAGAAGTTTTTGTCTAGAGTTTTGCAGCTAATCTAATACGAGTAAAAGGATGGAACTCAACAACCCCCCCTCCCCCGCACCCTGTTAATACCAAATTATGCAGTCATGTAATAGCCTAAATAAAATGATTTAGGACATAGTTACAAAGATGGGCACTGCCCACAAGAGCTGTGGATATGAGGTACCTTGGTGTTCATGTGCAGCTGTTGCTGAATCAGTGGAAACACCCCCAGGAAGAGTTGCTAGAGATTGTCCAGGCACTTCTCCTGGGTTACCAACATCTGTGACTTCTTCGCTTTCATCCTCTGAACCTGGAGCTTTCTGACAGCTTGCAGTGAGTTTCATGCGGAGGGCTTGATTTTCTTTCTCCAGTTTGTTGATTTCTTTCTGCATTTCTTGGATGACTCCCCTGAGCTGGCTGTTAGCTTCCATTGCCTTTTCTATGTCACTCTGGTCTGCTTCTCCAACAGGACAATGTTTCTTCATGCACCAAATGCATAATCTACTCAACAGGACTGGGTGAGCCCGCCCATAAACCTTTTTGAACAATACGTGTCTTTCTTCCCTGCACCATCTTTCAGCACCTAGGGTTAGGTTGTCAAGGGAGGTAAAGGATCTCCATGACTTATTCATTCTGGTTTTGTTTTTCAGGGCAGAGCTTTTCTCTGCATCATTCATTTCATATCAATCCACAGTTCTAGAATATAGCTTTGTGTCAGAAAAGACGAGACTACTGTAAAAATTTCCACTGAGGAAGAGTTTCTTGTTTCTCTCATGAACTCATCCTTGGAAGCACCACCCTCTGGCCCTGGGATCTTTGACCCCAGCTTTTTCTGGGATCACCAACTGCCACAAGGACATCAAAACTAGCCCAGAAGAATCTTCAGGTACTGTCACAGTTCAGTATTGCAAATTATTAATTTTAACACCTGTCAATTAGGGTAACCAAAATTATAGGGGCCATGTGAACTGTGGTGATATTTAAACAATAAATTGATAGTTACACCTAAATCCCTCAAGGCCAAGGGCCACATTAGCACTTCTCAGTAGGTTTTTATCTTATATTTTCCTGTTGGTTGGTTTTGGAGTGTTTGCTTGGGCAAAGGCTGCTCAGGGATATTTTGGGAATGTAAGTAGATGCAGGCTGAGCATTAATCTTGAATGGGAAGAACATGCAACAGTTAACAGCTTTCATTATCTATTTCCCGAAGAGGTTTCCTTGTTGGGAATGAAAAGCATGAATCTCAGATAGCATAAGCTCTGACAACCGTGTATGCTAGAAAGTGAATTGATGTTCAACCATAGGCTTCTTTTGCAACAGGGTGAAAATAATTAGAAAAGTTTTCATGGTGGGCCTCCCCGGTGGTGCAACGGTTGAGCGCTGGGTTGAGAAGCTTCCCACGGCCTCTGCAGCGCCGGTTCGATCCCCGGCTGCTCCCCGGCCACCGGAGGAGGGTCCCACATGGCGCGCAGACCTCTCCTGCCGCCCGCTGCTCCCCTCAGCAGTGTCCTTTGGTCCTTCTGCCTGCTCTGCTCCCCGCTCTGCTCTGGTGAATTCTCTCACCTTCCCGCACTTCTGACTGTGCCCAGTGCTTGTATAAACAAAAACAAACAAACAAACAAATAAATAAATAAAATATGCCTCTATACAAAATAAAAAAAAAAGAAAAAAAAAAAGAAAAGTTTTCATGGTGATAGTTTCTCTGCACATTTACTTCCTTCTCTTTTTGGTATATTGACTTTTTGGGTGTTATCCTACTCAATATGTACTGACTGACCCAAAGCTACAGGCAGCACAAGAGATTGGAAAATTCTTTTTTAGAACTCACCAGATTTATTTGATATATTTAATTGTAGGCCGTGCTTACTAAACAGTCTAAAAATGAGGCGGTTTTGATCGATTAATTGTATTTGTATTTCAGTAAGCATTTACATGCCAGACACTTTAGTTGCTGTAGAAGTTGGTTATGGAAACATGGAACATGGAATAAGATGGATTTAAATGTCACCCAGTCTAACCACCTAGCAGATACTGCTGTCTGTTTCACCACAGCTCTATAGGAATTGTTGATCCTATAGAGGACTATTTCTCCTATATGAGAGTCCTGTATTTAGATTTCATAAATCTGACAGTTGGAAACCTCATACCTGAGTGGCTCCAAAAGGACTTCAACACATGCTATTATCCATCAATCTGCACAGCCGCCCCCAGGGAGCCTCCTGATCAGCAGGAGCAAACGGCAAGACCACTGGGTGACCGATGAGGTCTCACGTGACCCTGAATTCTGCTCTGCTCCCACTCCATCTGCAAGACTTCCCCTTACCACCCTTCCCTCTCATGATCGCCTTCTGGGTCCATGAGCACTGCAGGCACACTCCCGTCTGGGCACCCTGCTGCCTTGTGCTTGAAATTATTCCCCCCTCTACAGCCACAGGGAATTCCTTCATCTTCTGCCTCAGCTAGTAAACCTCATATTGCTAGCCCCCGATTCTGTGGGAATATACTAGGTCTTTGGCTCCTCCCAGATCTGAGGGCAAAGTTTAAAAAAGATGACTTGCCTCATTCCGATGTCTGCTTTCCAGACAACTGAAGGTGGCACCAAGTGCCTTCAATTCCCCTCAAATAAATGATGAAAAAGCGTGTCTTTCTCTGGACATAAAGTCATGCCTTCCTGGAATGTGGCGGGGGGGGGGCACAGTTGACTTGTGGCTTCCTCATCTGTCAGAACCTTCAGTTTTAGTCAATGACAAAGGACTAACAAGGTCAGAATAGACCTAACTCAGGGATTTGGGCTGCATCATCTCCACTGGACCATGTGTCCTGTGTGGAGACACCCAATTGCCTTACCCTTTATGACTTAATAGAAAAATGTCACTTAGATGAAATCTTATGTCTCACTTTTCAAGCAGGACCTCACCCTGCAGTTATAAATTATTTAAACAGCTGCTGAGAAATTCTACTTTTGCAGCATTTGCTGAGAATTCACTTTGACCTTGAACCTGAGATGTAGCTATTGTTGGAGTGATTTCCCAGGTGACCGGAAGCATCTGCTGTTGCAACAAGCCCAGAGTCTGGAGCGGCTTTGGCAGTGTGCCATCTTGATGTTGTTTTGACATTTGAGTACCGCACAGTGGCAGAGCAGTCATGTGGAAAGGAAGAAGAAATGGGAATCTTTTGATGGGCACAGCGCCCGTGAAATACTGATGAGTCTGTGAGAGAGATCCTGAAGGGTTAGCTGGTATGAAAGGGATTAACTGCCTCTGCAGCCAGATGCGAGGCGATCTTTCTTGCCTAGCTCTGCCATGAAGAGACTTTCATAAGGTCACATAGGGAAAGGCGTGTCCGCCATCTGATGGACCATTGCTGGCTTGTGGTGAGTTTCCAGTGACAATGAGAATTTCAAGTCTTCCTGAGATAGGCGTGTGTGCAAAAAATCGGAACTGATATCATGGACAAGGCAATGATCCTGGGCTGAAGGCTCTAACTTCTGGCTTGTCACTAAATCACTACTAAATCTTACCCATAAAACATGGGCACTGCAGAAACTATAAATCAAAGGTCTTATACAGAGAAGTAGATAAAATGCATGAAGTTTCTGAGTTTGGCATCGACCCAGTGACAAGACTTTGTTCCCACAAGGATTGTAGCTCTAGTGTTGTCAAACTCAGCATCTTCACTCATTTTCTATGAGATCTCCACATGTTTAAAGATGGGCGATACACTCAGATCTTCCAATACGCTGTGCAGATCTAAGAAAACATGCTGGAGGGAATTAAGTCCCTTGGTTTCTGATGCATCTGACTTCCAAAAGGCATTGCAAATATTTCCTTCTTTTCTCTTATGAGAAACAAAGGATCATAACACCCGTAGACTTTCCTACAATGAGCATGCTTTAATGAACACTTACTGGGGGCCAAGCTTCCAGACATGTCCTATAAGGATCAGACTCAGTGAAGTTTCAGCGCTGAGACCAACTTGTTCATCTCTTCTGAACAGCATTTCCTGTAAAGGGAAAATAAGGATGGTTATCTCCATGGATCACTGTGAAGATTAAATGCATTTATAATCACAAATGCACCTATGTGCTTTGAAATGATTAAGTTTCAATAAATGTTGATTCAATAGCATCAAGTTTCAAACTGAAAGATTGCTGGTTGATTGTTCTATTGTCTTTCCAGCATTAGACATGCAGGGAGGTGAGAAGAGAGGAAAGGTGGATAAGGTTAGGATGTTCAGGGGTCAAAGCTTGCCTGAGTGGTCAGATTGGGTCTCCAGCATTTGACAGTTGTAACTGGAAACAAGTTGTTCCTCTTTCCCAAGCCCTTACTGTTTTAGTTTTAAGAAAATCCCTCTTGGATTGTATGGATCAATTGGGATGAATTGATAGCTTTGCTATACTGAATCTTTATTATTGTGACCTTTATTCAGATCTACTTCAAGTGCATCAATGGTGTTCTGTAGAAGTCTTCCATTCATTTTGTTATGCAATGCTTCATTATTTATCTCTAAACATTTTAAAATTTCTATTGCTCATTTCATTCATTCAATACATATTTATTTTCTTTGCACCAGGTGCTAAGTCCCGTTCAAAACCCCTAGACATTTATTCATGAACAAGAAGATGTAGACCTCTCTGTGGAATTTATTTTGTTGTTAGGAAAACAGCAATGAAACACTATAAATAAGCAAAGGGCAAAGCGCATTCGATGTGATCCAGCTATGGAGAAAAATAAAGCAGGAAAAGGGACAAGGAATGCTGTGAGTTCTAATTCTAATGGAGAGTTCAATTTTAAATTCACTTAAAAGTAAAGGAGCTAGAACAGGCGTCACTGCCAGGGTAAACTGAAGAAAAGGAGGAGAGAAATGATGGAAACAATATTTCAGCTTAGTGGACAAGAGAGAACAAGGTGCCAATGAAACTGTATTCTTCTTGGTTTGAGGGCATCAAGGAGGCTAGAGTGATTTGATACAAGGTGAAAAAATAATAGGAAGAGGCATAAAGACTTGTGGGAGCCAGATCATGCCAGCTCCCTAGGTTACAATTAGGCTTTGGCTTATTTCTCAAACAATAAAATCCATTTGCATTTATTGTTATTTATTTATTTTTTTTATAGAAAGTGTAAACTCCATTCTTTTTTTTTTTTTTTTTTAAAGATTTATTTATTTATTTATACAAGCACTGGGTACAGTCAGAAGCGCGGGAGGGTGAGAGAATTCACCAGAGCCAGAGCGGGGAGCAGAGCAGGCAGAAGGACCGAAGTACACTGCTGAGGGGAGCAGCGGGCGGCAGGAGAGGTCTGCGCGCCATGTGGGACCCTCCTCTGGTGGCCGGGGAGCAGCCGGGGATCGAACCGGCGCCGCAGAGGCCGCGGGCAGCTTCGCAACCCAGCGCTCAACCGCTGCGCCACCGGGGAGGCCCAAGTTCTTACTT